TGCGCATGCATCTTGAAGCCATTAATGTCGACCTATGGTATGTCGTCAAGAATGGCGTTCCCAAGGCTGGTGAAGGTGTCACTGCTGCTGATGTCAAGAAGTTCATTCAATTGGACTCCACTACTAAGAACATTATCTGTGGTCATCTGACCAAAGGACAGTATGGCTGTGTGAGTGCTTTGGAAACATCTAAGCTAGTCTGGGACTGGCTCTCCAAGGTCAACGAAGGCGTCTCAACCCAGAGAGATCAGAGAATCAGTGTCCTTTGCAACCTCTTCAACCGCTTCAAGAGAAATGACGATGAGAATGTCCAGCTCACGTTTGATCGACTCACTGACGTCACAAATGAGCTTCAAGCCCTCGGCGCTACTGAGATCACCAAGCATGAAGTCGTCAAGACACTCCTGAGATCACTTGACAGCTCGTTTGACACCCTAGCCCTGATGATTCAAGAACGTCCTGACTTCAAGACACTCGATCCGTCTGACATACTTGAGAGGCTCAACACACATGAGTTTCAGCTTTCTGAGAAAAGAGATATCTACGGCCCCAACTATGGGCGAACTCGTGCCTTGAAGGCAAAAGTTGTCTCCTCATCTGAAGAAGAATCTGACAGCAGTTCTGATGATCCTGAAGACATTGGAAAGGAGCTTGCTATGCTTGTGAAGATGTTCCGAAAATTCACCAAGAAGAAAGGCTTCAGAAAGTCCTCAAGATCAAGCTCAAGGAATGATGAAGCTTCTTCTCATGACTACAAGAAGAGAACATGCCACAAGTGCAAGAAACCTGTCCACTACATCTCTGAGTGTCCGCAGTGGGACAATGAGAACAAGAAGAAAAAGAAGAGCAAGGAGTATGATTCTGACGACAAGAAGAAGAAGAAATACTCAAAGTCTTCTTCCAAGTCTTCCCCAAAGTCTTCATCACACAAGAAGAGCTCATCTAGCAAGGCTCGTGCGTTTGTTGGCAAGGAAATGGATTCGGAGGAGGAGTCCGCTTCTGAGGAGGCGGAGGTGGAGTCTGCGGAGGAGTCCGATTCTGGTGTGGCAAGTCTGGCTACAGCCTACGTTGCCAAGTCCATCTTCAACACTGAAGACAATGCCACCAACGCCGATGCTAATGACAAGGACGACTCCACTCCCACCTACTGCTTCATGGCACACGGTGCCAAGGTAAACTCACGCGCCACTCACTATCAAACATCAAGTGAAGATGACTCTGAATGTGGTTCCAAACCCAGCTACAAAACACTTGCTAAAATTGCAACTGAACAACAGAAAGCTATGGAACATATTCAAAAACTATTAGACAAAAGCGATGACCTGTTGGATGCTGAAATGACTCGATCTCAGTCCTTAATTGAAGACATAAAAAATCATCATGTTAAGTATGAGGAACTTGAAAGTCGTCATGAAACGCTCTCAACATCTCATGAAAAGCTTTCCTATGATTATCTTCAAAGGAAGCAAGACCTCGAAAAATTGAGAGCGGCTCATGAAGACTTCAAAAGGAAAACGAGTCACTTTGCGCCAAACAGATCAGTTCCGCTCAGGAAGGATTTGAACCACCATGTCTTAAATGCATTGAGCGTGATAACGCTACTTCTATTGCTGAATGTTCTACTGCTGCTACTGTTGCAATATCTTCAACTGTTGATGTGGTAACTAACCCCTTTGCTGAGGATGCCACTGCTATTGCCGATGAGAATGCTAGGTTGAAGACATTGCTTGAAATAGGGATGTTCAAAAGTCTCAAAGGGCATCAGACACTGTGTGATGTCCTCAAAAGGAAGATCCTGAACCGAAACCTGGTTGAGGAACTAATGTGTTTGTGAGAATTGCAGGATAACACAGGTAGTAGTCCCTCATTGATTCAGTTTACCTACTGGAGATGATCCCTAAAAATGTGTGAAGACATTGAAGACAATGGTGGTATGTCAAGATATTCGCACTGAAGACTATGAAATGAGAAGACATCGCATGAAGACTATGGATTTCGTAGTTTCATCTTCTTCTTTGTTGATTCATAGGAACCACCGTACTGTTAAGTGGGGTCCCAGTGAATATAGTCAGAATGACTAAAGTGATGCTCAACCAAATCATAAGTCTTCGAGCCAAGACGATGAGAGCAAATCTTATCCAGAGCTGGATAAGTCAGCTTTACTTGTAGCCCAAGTCAAGCTGCCGCGTGTGTTTGAAAACTGACCGTTGGAACACCATAAATTAGGTCGGGTTGCCTAGTGGCGATAAATAGCCCACCCCCTACACCATAAATTGGTGGCTGCTCAGAGTTAGTGCACGACTTTTGTCGTTTGAGAGCAACCCACCTCTGAAGCCTTTGAGAGAGAAATCCTTGCGAGGACAAAGCCCTAAACACCCAGAGCCAAAGAGTGTTAGGCATCACTGAAGTCTTCCTGTCTGTGTGATCTGAAGACTTGTTACACTTGAGGACTGTGAATCCTCCAGTCGGTTAGGCGTCGCGTTCTGAGTATCCAAGAGTCATTGTGGACCGCCGGTGAACGAAGTCTGTGAAGGTCTGAAAGTCTACCTTGAAGACTTACCTGAGTGATTGGGCGAGGACTGTGTGTCCTTAGCTCAAGGGGAATAAGGTGAAGACACGGTCTTCTGAGTTAAATTTCAGCCTCTCTAACCAGACGTACAGTTGTCAAAGCAACTGGAACTGGTCCAACAAATCCTTGTCTTCACCAAGCAACTGGTTCTATCATTTCCTTCTCTTTATCTATAGTTGGTCCTTGTGAAGTCATTACCTGCTTGCATTATTAGTTTGTCTTCATTGTGTGACTGTTTGTTCTGATTGGCTTCATACTATCTTCCATCCTGATCCATACTGCCTAGCTGCTATTAGTCTTCGTGCTTTCACTTCATTATATACTTGACTATGGCTTGCTTAGTGTAGTCTACCTTCCACTGCATGTTAATAGGTTCATTTCTATCGTTTGTCTTCGAAACTTCCATGTTTTGAAGACTTTCATAAAAATCGCCTATTCACCCCCTCTAGTCGATAACTAGCACTTTCAGGACCGTATATGAACCCCTAGAACAAAGTTAGGGATGATATTTCGGGTATTTTGAACTACAGGGACTAAAATGACCACCGATGCAAGTTTGATGACCTACAATGCATTTTTCTCCATCTAATATACTAGTGAATCAATTCCTTGCAAGGCCCTGAGTCTGTATATGCTCCAGCTGACCAACTTTTTACATCCATTCAGATTTGTAAACATAAAACTATACAATTTCATGTTACAAATTTAGGACCCTGTATGGCACGAACATATAACAACTCTGAATGTTTTTGATGGCAAATTTAGTGACATGAAGATGACAACTTTCTTTTCGGATGACCGTTTGTTTAGGTTTTCCTTTTCTTTTTGGATGACAACTTTAGTTGTAAAAAAGTCAGGATAGAAGTGTTCGTGGCACACGTGTGGTACTTATCATTTGGGTAAATCTAATACCTGTACGCATATTATTGCGGTGAAAGTTTGACTGTATGCATCCTAATACAAGTCCAAAAACAATCAGACATACTCCCTCCGGCCCTTTTTAGTTTGCATATAAATTTTATGCAAAGTAAAGTATCTCTATTTTAACCAAACTTATAGAAAAAAGTGTCAATATTTACAATATCAAACCAATATTATTAGATTCATTTATGAAATGTAGTTTCATAGTATATATATTTTATATTGTAGATGTTGATATTTTTTAATATAATATTGGTCAAATTTTATAAAGTTTGACTTGAGACAAATCTAATACGCGAAGTAAAAAGGGCCCGAAGGAATACATGATGCATCTTTGATGAAATTCCGAAGCTGTCTCTAAGTTTGAAACAACGCCGAGAGAAGAGCACACGGAGAAAAAGAAGAGACGTCTAAAAACTTGCAGGGAGAGGCTAAATTTCGTGTTTTGACCCTTTTCTGAAACCTATTCGAGATTTGGCTCTAGTTTAAATTTTTTTTCGAGATCTGACCCTTTTGCTACCGCCAGGGACCATGACGGTAGGGTATAACAGCCTACCGCAAAGGTCTCTGATGGTAGGGTTGCATGCCCTACCGCCAAAACCTCCTAAGTATTGAACACAGTGCGTGCTCGTGCCTACCGCCAAGCACCTTAACGGTAGGATTGTACAGGCTACCGCCAGCCCGGTTGACGGTAGCGATGTTTCCTACCGCCAAAATCCCCGGCGGTAGGCTGTTAGACCCTACCGTCATGGGCTCTGGCGGTAGCAAAAGGGTCAGATCTCGAACTTTTTTCAAACTAAGGTCAAATTTCAAATAGGTTTTAAAAAAGGGTCAAAACATGAAAATTTGCCGCAGGGAGAAAGAAAGCAGCGTTGTCGCTAGTTTGTGCTGAACAACCGGAATGTATGAGCACGTTGCCGGCGAAGAAATCCACTTCCGCCACCGAGCCGGGGTTCCTCCGCCGGGCAGCATCGGAGAGGCTGGGCTATGGGAGCGAAGGGAAGCCCGTGGCCACGACAGTGGGCTTGGGCCTCCAATTTCGTCGACAGGCCGAGAAGCGAAACCGCGAAAAATCCGTTTCCTTTCTCTTCGCCCTCTCTTTCTTTGGTCGCGGCCAGGAGCCCAGGACCGAAACACGAAGCCGCCCGCCATTTTCCTAGCCGCCAAACTGGCTAGGCAGTCCTCCCGCGCCTGCTTCAACCGAGCAGCGCCGCGCCTCGCCGCCGCCACCTGCCCCTCCCGTCGCCTCTCCGCCACCGCGCAACCATGCCCTGTCGACCCATCTCTGCCTCACCCCTTCAGCCTCCTCGCCGACCACCCGCACCCCGCGGTAGCCCAGTTCCCGAGCACTGGCTTCTCTCACCTCGCCGACACCCCGCGCCTCGCACGCGCCATCCACGCGACCGTCCTCCGCCGCGCGCTACCGCTCAGCGCCTTCCACAGCAACACCCTACTCGCCTTCTACTTTCATCACCGCTCACCAGATGCCGCGCTCCACCTGTTCGACGCAATGCCGGACCGCACTCCGTCCTCCTGGTACACCGCCATCTCCGGCTGCGTCCGCTGTGGCCACGAATCCACTGCGTTCGACCTGTTGCGTCGCATGCGTGAACGTGCAGTTCCGCTCAGTGGCTTCGCTCTCGCCAGTCTCGTCACCGCGTGCGAGCGCCGGGACAAGGAGGAGGGCCGCACGTGTGGAGCCGCCATACACGCGCTGACCCACAAAGCCGGACTCATGGTGAACGTGTACATCGGGACAGCGCTCCTTCACCTGTACGGCTCCCGGAAGCATGTGTTGGACGCACAGAAGTTGTTCCAGGAGATGCCTGAGCGGAATGTCGTGTCGTGGACGGCACTGATGGTGGCATTGTCATCAAATGGGTACTTGGAAGAGGCATTGAGAGCTTATTGCCGGATGAGAATGGAAGGTGTTGCGTGCAATGCAAATGCGTTTGCGACGGTGGTCAGCCTGTGTGGGTCACTCGAGAGTGAGATGGCTGGGCTTCAGGTATTTTCCCAGGTCTTAGTTTCTGGCCTACAAAGGCAGGTCTCCGTTGTAAATTCACTGATTACAATGCTTGGTAACATTGGGAGGGTGCAAGATGCCGAGAAGCTCTTTTATCGAATGGAGGAACGTGACACTATATCATGGAACGCTATGGTATCAATGTACTCACATGAAGGACACTGCAGTAAATGCTTTATGGTATTTTCGGATATGCGTCGTGGTGGATTGTTAAGGCATGACGCAACTACTATGTGCAGCCTGATATGCGCCTGTGCGTCGCCAGCTTATGTCAACATTGGAAGTGGAATTCATTCCCTGTGTCTCAGGGGTGGTCTGCACTCTTATATTCCCGTGATTAATGCGCTTGTTAATATGTATTCTGCTGCTGGGAAGTTGGTTGATGCTGAGTTTCTGTTCTGGAGCATGGGCAGAAGGGATCTAATATCATGGAACACTATGATTTCATCATATGTCCAAAGCGGTAATAACATGGATGCATTGAAGACACTAGGTCAGTTACTTCAGACTAATGAAGCTCCAGATCGCATGACATTTTCCAGCGCTTTAGGAGCATGTTCAAGTCCAGGAGCTTTGATGGATGGCAGAATGGTTCATGCCATGATATTGCAGTTAAGTCTTGACCGCAATCTACTGGTTGGTAATTCTCTCCTCACGATGTATGGTAAATGCAGTTCTATCCAAGATGTCGAGAGAGTATTTCAGTTGATGTCCACTCACGATGTTGTCAGTTGCAATGTACTTATTGGGAGCTATGCACCGCTTGAGGATTGTACCAAGGTAATGCAGGTATTTACTTGGATGAGAAGTGCGGGATTAAAGCCAAATTACATAACAATAGTGAATATCCAGGGTTCTTTCAAATCTTCAAATGATTTACACAATTATGGATTGCCCCTGCACGCATACACAATCCGTACTGGGTTCGTAGCTGATGACTACGTTAGTAACTCTCTGATCACAATGTATGCAAACTGTGGTGACTTAGATTCAAGCACTAAAGTCTTCCGCACAATCATCAAGAAAAGTGTCGTTTCCTGGAATGCTATGATCGCTGCGAATGTTCAACATGGCCATGGAGAGGAAGGTTTAAAGCTTTTCATGGATATGCGGCATGCTGGAAATACTCTTGATCATGTTTGTCTAGCTGAATGTTTGTCATCCAGTGCAAGCCTGGCATCACTAGAAGAAGGCATGCAACTACATGGTCTTGGTGTGAAGTGTGGGCTGGATAATGACAGTCATGTGGTTAATGCTGCAATGGATATGTACGGGAAATGTGGAAAAATGGATGAGATGTTGAAAATGCTTCCTGATCCTGCCGTTCGACCCCAACAATGCTGGAATACATTGATATCAGGTTATGCAAGATATGGATATTTCAAAGAAGCTGAGGACACATTTAAGCATATGGTGTCGATGGGGCGAAAGCCAGATCACGTAACATTTGTCACTCTTCTCTCAGCTTGTAGTCATGCTGGTCTAGTGGGCAAGGGTATTGATTACTATAACTCTATGTCTTCTGTATTTGGTGTTTCCCCTGGAATAAAGCATTGTGTTTGCATTGTGGATGTCCTTGGACGTTTAGGGCGATTTACAGAAGCAGAGAAGTTCATTGAAGACATGCCAGTCTTACCAAATGATCTAATTTGGCGTAGCCTGTTGTCCTCTAGTAGAACTCACAAAAATCTGGATATTGGGAGGAAAGCCGCCAAGAAACTCCTTGAGTTGGATCCTTTTGATGACTCAGCTTATGTTCTTTTGTCGAACTTATATGCGACAAGTGCAAGATGGTCCGATGTTGACAGACTAAGAAGTCACATGAAAAGCATCAATTTAAATAAAAGACCTGCTTGCAGTTGGCTTAAGCGGAAGAAAGAAGTAAGCACCTTTGGTATAGGTGACCGGAGTCATAATGACACAGAAAAGATCTACGCGAAGCTAGATGAAATCTTTCTGAAGCTCAGGGAGGTAGGTTATGTTGCTGATACCTCATTGGCACTGCATGATACAGATGAGGAACAAAAAGAGCAGAACCTTTGGAATCACAGCGAGAAGCTTGCATTGGCATATGGCCTTATCACTGTTCCGGAAGGATGTACAGTAAGGATATTCAAGAATCTCAGGGTCTGTGCGGATTGCCATTTGGTATTTAAGCTTGTCAGCATGGTTTTTGACAGGGAAATTGTCCTGAGAGATCCTTATAGGTTCCACCATTTCAAAGGCGGATCATGCTCCTGTTCAGATTTTTGGTGACATTAGTTGTGCACAAAGACAGTTGATTCGATGTGTAGGACTGTGGTAACTGTACAGAGAGAATTGGTCGCGTCGCCTGAGCAAAAGAAAAAGATTTTTCCAGTGTATATGTCTAGTATTGCTGATTAATGCTGTTGCTGTGGTACTGGCCTCTTCAATCATGGTTCTTGAAGCAATATAACAACGACATATGAATCGAAAGAAGCAAAGCTCTTGAGAAATTATCTATACTCCTATATAGTGTATGAATATCAGCCCATATGGACCGTTGGATCATTCTTATCCAACGGCTCACATTTAGTCTCTTTAGCCAGGTGACATCGTGGCCACAGCTGCACCATTGGATATGCTCATCAAACGGTCCAAATTGCTGGGATTCGTGGTGGGTCTACAACTGTGCTATTGCAGCGTGCCCTTCTCTGAACAGGCACCACGCAGGATTCTTCCATCTCTTTCTGGAAAGTTCTGGCATGCTCACCTAAACAATGGTACTACTAGCAATTGGAAGCAAATGAGAGACAGAGAGAGTAGTGCTACTGTACTAGAAACAAGCCAGCAAATAGATGGGGCGGTGCAGCCTATGCAAAAGGCGCATTTTTATTTTACAAAATTAGAGAACTTCAATTACAATAAAAGTGTGAATTTGATATGTGTCATAACTAAATATCTTTTACTTTCACTTATAGATTCGAGTTACAAATGTTGTAACACAGATCTCTTCACGTTTACCAGACATATATAATCATTTTCCACAAACAAACATATATAATCATTGATCTTTTTTTTGTGAACGAATATATAATCATTGATCTAATATATGATTTATCAGGATAAAGAAGATACTTGGTACTCTGTTGGTTGCTTAGTGTAGGACTTGAGAGAGATAGATAGAGAGAGAGAGAGAGGGAGGGAGG